AGCAATGCGAAGCTACAAATTCACACTGGTGTTGTTTTTCTTTTCGGTGCTGACTTTCCTCTTTTAGCTGTACTTTGGGAGACCGCAACCACTGCAAGAAGTCGCTTCTGAGAGAAACCGAGTGCTTTGTCAAGACATCTGCGTGCATGAGCCCACTCGGAACCCAGTGCACTTGCTCTGGACTTATGAAGTCCTGTATCGAACGTATGGAGATCATCGTCCTCTTCTCTTCGGTAGAGGGGTTGTCACTGATGACTCCGTCGTACAGGGATTTACAGTCCGTCACTTGAAGCTGCTTCAAAACACCGGTTGTTCGCTGCTTTGTCGAGGAAGTGGCGCCACACAGGAGCTCGCTCAGGAACACGTTCAGAAAAGTTGCTCTGTCCACTCCTTCGTCCATGGCGTTTGCCTCGCTGGCCAGCGTAGACCTTGTGACTCGAGGGCTTCTTGAGCTACGCCAATCCAAAATGGTGGCGCGAGAGACAACTTCTTGGCATTCGGGTCCTGTCAGTAGGACCAGAACTCCCATCTGACTTTTGCCGCCGGGGGCGTTAGCCCATGAAGAGTCGGCGTAGCAGACGATCGTTGTGGCAAAGTTGAGCGCCACACCACTGAACGTCAGGCCGTCCGTTGAGCTGGCCTTGAGGTAGTTGATGCACTCGAACAACTTTTGTAGCTCCAGTGGCCCGTTCTCTAGACCGTGATTGCTCAGCGACACAGTGGCAGCGATGTCAGGACGCGTAGTCCCCGACAGCCACTGCAGACTCCCAGCGCAGCTGCGGTACTCTTTGACTTCGGCTGCGCTCAGTCGGTTGTCTCCTTCGAGCCTGCCGCGCGGAAGTTTGCCAGCCTCGAGCTCGTCGATGAAAGACTTCTGTGTGACCACGATCTTGTACTCCCCGAGGTGGTTCTTCTTTAGGCTGACCTCCTTGCCCTTGAAGACAAAGTCGCCGTCGTCCAGCAGGTTGGTCTGGCCCCAAGTGAACATCTCCTTCAGCTCTTTAAAAGAGTAGTCCTCCCGGAAGGTTGCCAGGAAGTCGTCCACATGGAAGAGGAGCACGATCATCAGCTCGCCGCTGCTGTCGAGCTTGTAGTACACGGTGTGGTCGAGGCGGTGTCGTTTGAAGTTAGCTTCTAGGAGCTTGGTGACGATGTGGTTGATCCATGTCCTCGGGGCATTGCATAACCCATACAGATTGCCGATGATCTCGTACAGTTCGGCTTCGAACGTGCCCGCCATCGCCTGGATGTCGTCGCGAGGTGGCTTCATGAAAATCGGCATGTCACGGGTCTGCGGTTGACCCTGAAGAAACGCTGTTGAAACGTCGCCTGCCCACAGCTTCCAGGCCTTCTTGTTCTTGAGGAAGCGCCGGTTGTACCCAGCGCAAGCGATCTCATAGATCACGTACTCGGCCAATCGTGTAGGTGTTGGGCTCGAGCGGTCCAAGAGTCCCAAGTCTGGGTCATGGCACCCTTGAATCACTGTCCTGCACTTGGCCTTCACGGTGGGTCCTGCGCCGCGGTTCTTGTCTCTGTAGGCATTGCGGGAGGGCATGATCCTCTTACGCAGCACAGGATGGTTCTTGACCCGTGCCGCCTCTGCAGATGACAAGGCGCGGATAGAGTTCCAGGACATCCATGAGTCGTACTCCTTCTTGTTTGCCTGCACGTACAAGCTGATGATATCGCTCGGGTAGTCAGCCATCAGCTTCCTCCACGGGATCTCACGATCGATAG